TTGGTCAAAACGACCTTGTCGGACTCAAAGACCATGCGAAAACCATGTTTACTGAGAAGAAACCCTGAGACAAGATTCTTATAAATGTCCAGAACATACAGAACTTCGTTCAAGGTCAGCTCCTTTCCTGAGGTCAACTTCAGGACCACCTTTCCTTTCCCCTCAACAATTGAGGTAATAGAGTTTCCCATAAACAACTTGTCACCGTTTGTAACCGACTCAAAAGTTATAAACAACTTCTTCTCAAAGCAGATGTGGCGTGTAGCCCCAGCATCAATCCACCATTCTCTTGGGTTTGAACCCACCAAATTCACCTCAAAGACAACGGCAGACAAGTGCATGCCATCCTCATCATGGGAGTGCTCTTGCATATCTACCATGTGAGCACGAGGTTTGGTCTTGTATGGCTTCTTTTGCTTGTGACAATCACTAGCCCGATGCCTCTTGCTACCATAGTTGTAGCACTTTCCTAAGAACCAATAACCAAGTTCCTACGGCTTGTATGCCGGCTTCTTTGCAACACCAACCCTTGGCCCCAACTTTGAGCCCTTGTTCACAGGGGGCTTCTTCCTCACCCCAGAAGATCTGTCATGCTCAATGATATTAGCCTTCACTGAAGAGGTACTCCCTCTTTTTTTTTTATTATCATCCTCAATTCGGAATCGAATAATCAGGTCTTCAACTGACATTTCCTTACGCTTGTACTTCAAGTAGTTCTTGAAGTCCTTCTAACCATTGGAAAGTTTCTCAATGATCACAACAACTTAGAATGACTCGTTCAAAGGCATCCCCTCAGCATGAATTTCATGCAAGATCACTTGTAACTCCTGGACTTGGTTTATCACAGTTTTTGAATCTACCATTTTAAAGTCTAGGAACCGGCCAACCACAAATTTCTTTGCCCCGGCATCCTTAGTCCTATACTTTTTGTCCAGAGATTTCCATAACTCTTTTGCTGAGCTCTTGGCACAAAACACACTGTAGAGTGAATCTACCAAGCTGTTGAACACATAGTTTCGGCAAAGACAGTTTGTCTGCTTCCATGTGTCAAGTACCAAGACTTTCTGCCTATCTGGCTCATTCTCTGCCACGGCTGGAGGATCCTCACTCAAAACCTTTGCAAGGCTCAGCGTGGTCAAGTAGAACAACATCTTTTGTTGTCACCTCTTGAAGTTCACCCCAGCAAATTTCTCTGGGCGCTCATGGTGACTGAGCGATCCTCCCGGAACAGTCGAAGTAACACCAAGGTTGACCACAGAGGTCACAATTGAGGTTGCCAAGTCAGTTGCCTCGGGGTTCAGATCCCCACCAACATTAGCAGTAGCAGTATCATTGGTGACAGTTGTCATTTCTGAAAAATACAACAGAATATCACTTTCTGTGTTTCTAGAAATTAAACTTAATTCTTAGAAAATCCCATAGTTAGAAATTTAATTCAAAAACTAGTCTACCACTTAACCTAGAATCGAACATGGTTAGGAATGTTCCTAGGAAGATTGAAGGGGTCACATCGGTCTCACTTAAAACCCAGTTAACCTTTTGACAAAACTTTCAAGAGCATGTTGACTCCTAATCCATGATAAACAATTTTAAGAATTAAATTTTCTAAAGGATGAACTAGGTTAAAATAAACCAGTTTCAAACTTAAAAGCATTTAGAATAAAATTGCTAACAATTACAAGCAATATAAAAAAATTGCTACAGCAAAGATAAGCAAAATAAAAAATAAAAAAATGCTTCTAATATGCCAAGCAAACAACCTTGTTTAAAAATTTGGCAAGTAACCACTACTAAATCTCAAGTAAAATTGTTTAAATAATATAGTCCAAATAATTCTTTTCCACGCTTAGGTATTCCTGTAAAAAAGTTAGTAGAAAAATCAAAACAAAAATACAAACCAAATAATCTAGGCAGAAAGTAAATATAACAAATTAATTGAAACTACCTAACAAATTAATTAATAAGAAAATTAACTAATCAATTAACATGCTAGATGAGTTACAAAAATAAAATTATTACAAAGGTGACAACCTTATACCTCCTAGATAATTAAACTTCTAGCCATGAGTTACATATCAATTTAATTGACAATAATTAATAAATTAAATTAATATTCAAGAGTTACATATCAATTTATACAAAACAATAATTGTGTAATCTTATAACTCTAAATAAATAAATTAAATTAATATGCAAGAGTTACAAAATAAAACTAAAATTTCAAAATTAAATTCAACTTTAAAATAAAATTTGTAACTCCAAATTAAATTACAACTTTAAAATAAAATTTAATAGTCATAACTCCAAATAAATAAATTTAATTCACCCAATTAAATTACACAATAGTTATGTACATAAATTTAGACAAGTTACAAAACTCTATAACTCCAAAATCTTAAATTAAAAGTTAATAGGCTAGAGTTACATAGAATTTAAATCACAATAAACATGTAATAAACTTGTAAATTATTCTAGCAATCAACATGCAAATAAGTCTATAATAATTAACATGTAAATAATTCTAGAATAAGAAGCATGAAAAATTAATTTAAATCTAAAAAATAAAAACATGTGAATTAATCTAGTATGTAATCATATATGCAACAGTAACTAGCAACATGTGATTCCTCATTATTTATTATTATTATTATTATTATTATTATTATTGTAGGCATGCCTCAGAAAAATGTGTGAAAATAGTGGGTTTATCTATTTTCTACAAACCAACAATAAGCCTATTTCTATAATCAATACACAACTATGCAAATATTAATGTAACATCTAGTAACCCCAGAAAGAAAAAAAACAGTGGACTAATTTTTCAAAAATTACCAATACTGAAAATATGCAAAGTAAGTACACAAAAATATTTTCTATTTGTTTTCAATACAAACCGTGGGTACACCAACTTATGTAGTATACTAAATTTGACTTTCAAGCAAGAATAACATGGCAGCATGTACAATCAAGAATTTGTTTAGCACACTAAATATATGAATTGAAAGAAATTGAAACACACTGACAATATCACAGCAGCAAGCATAAACATTAATTATGATTAAACTGTGTACATCTATCATGTGAATCTATTTGGCCATTTTCATGGGAAAATATAAAAATCTGTTTTAAGCTTATTGTCCAAATTGTGAAATTAAATAATAGATTCACGAATAAATCAAAATTATATACCAAGAACACATGCAGAGAATTACAACTAAATTACAACAGAAATACCCAATAGATTAAAATGGTAAAAAAAGCAAATCGAAACTTGCACGGCAGCAGTTTTCTTAAAACAGATTTTCACCGCCTCACGGGTCGAGTGCTTGAGGAATTTCGGTATCTGTCTCCCAAGATACAACGGTCAAAACCAACTACGGCAGAAGCACTTTCTGTCTAGCTTAGCGAATAAAAACCATGACAGCACTCTCTCACTGTAAAAACTTTCTAGCGAACTGACTTGTAAAATGGAAGTAAAAATTTCTGTGTTGAGACTAGACAGGAGGGTATCAATTTATACATGTATATGGGATAGAGGAGGAGCCTCAAGCCTTTATGGCTGGTCACTAATGCACCATTAATCTCTACAATATTGCAGGAGTTACAAATATATTATACACACTAATCCCGCTACTTCTTTCATGAAGCTAACTCCATTAGGCAATTTCTCATTCAATTCTCAATAGTTTTTTGTCATTTTTTTGTGGTGTAAAGATCTCATTGCAAAGTATCTAGACTCACTTGAACCCAACACAATAAATGGTTGGGGCCCATTTTAATATTTAATTAAAGTCACCAAAAACTCATTTTTTCCAACAAAAATTTAAAAGATCATATTACTTTATCTATCTGTCTGTCTACATATCATCCCTTTATTTGTCTATATATCACCCATTTGTTCATATCACCATCACTAACACCTACCACCACCAGCGACGACCACCTTCGAAAAAAAATTCAGTGACTTTCTGGCCAATAGTGGTCTAGAGTTTTGACAACAATGAAAAAAAAAAATGATTTATCCTTCTCAAGAAACAATTTTATAAACCATATTCTTATCATAAAAAACAAAACAATCCTTTTACCAGATGTCGTACACCGTAAAAGAAATAAAATTTTCACCAAGTTTTTTCAATATATATAGACAGAATTTGCAGGCCAGGCCTGGTTGAGCACCAAGCATGTCCCATTAACATGCAACCATTTTTATAAGTGTAGATTACTGTTTCTCGCTATTAGAGTCTATTTTTTGGAGCCAAAAGTAGAATAAAATTTAGAAAACCATATTGTCTTATTTATTTGTCCATATGACTTATCTGTACATATTTCATCTATTTATCTAGCCATTAGCATATCATTTTTTTTATTTGCCCACTTGGTCACGTATTGTCTACCTATCCATATCACTACTACCACCACCACCATCACCAAAAAACACCGTTGACAGCAAACATGCACCACGGCAGCAGCGCCAACCTCTGGCGACTTTTCCAGTGAATAAATTAATATTTAAATAATATAGAGAATATACGAAAAAAATTTTTTAATGTTCCTAATATTAAAATTTTATAAGATAAATGACATACAATATTTGCATAATAGTTAAAGTCCCTCATCATTTTCACAAAGAAAATTTGACTAAGAAATTTCAGCCGACTTAAAGAAATTTCAACCCCGACACAAAGAAATTTATCTGATTTCATTTCTCGAAAAAATTTCAAAATTTCTCTAGTATGATCACATAGAAATTTCATTGAATGGCCTTAGATAATTAAAAAAAACATCTTGCACCTCTCCTACTACACCACAAAGTTGGAGAGGGATGTTTCACTAAATTTTCTAAGAAATAATAGAGAGTCTTAGATAATGTATTTAAAAATATGTAAAACCAAAATAGAAAAAATAACTTTCAAGTTAAAATATAATAAAATTTTTATTAGTTTGATATTGATGCTCTAATATGAATAACCATCATCAACCAATAGAAGAGGAAATGGAAATGTTTTTGCAAAGTAGATTTGGGAAACATCTATATCTAAGCAACCAACATAGTTAATTACATACAGAAATCAACTCACTATACGTATGGATGAACCATCATCGAATTTATGTATAGCATTTATAATAATAAACATACATTACAGAATTCACAAACATTTCTAGGGTTTCAACAGAAGCAAGTGATGAATACTGAACATGCATTTGAGTCAAACTAAACAGCTTCAGCAAAACCCACTACCATATTTCCATAGTCAAATACTGTATGATACACCCCCATGAATACATCTCCAAGAATCCTGCATTCAAACACACACACACATATATATATATTTACCAATAGGCACACAAAAGGCTCATTAATTATGTGAACAAGCATGATGTAGAGATATGTATGTTTAGTAACGTTTATTTTTACTCTTTTTTTATTTTTTATTTCAGAAAATTTGAAAACTTGTAAATGAAAACATGTTTGACTACTGTCTGCTGTTTTTGTTTTCTAAAAAATGTAAACTATTTCAGAATTGGTTGAATTTTAAAGGGAAAAAAATAATTGTGTTTTCGTTTGTTTTGAAAATAAGTTTTAATTCCTTCCTCTACCCCAGCTTACCAAATATATTTGCTTGCTTCTTTTTTTTTCATATGTGCATATCAAGGGGAAGGCTACTACATGCACCCCTGTAAGGGAATACATAGAAAATGATGATTTTTTGGGGATGAAAGCTATGCTTTTGTTTTTGGAGTGTGCTATGCTGTTTGGTAGTAAAAGTTACAAATGATAAACCGATGATGTGCACTCTAAAATTACGAATGACGAAATTATGCCACTTTATTGCAAAAGTTAACACTTTTGTGGTAAGAGATTATACTTTTTGAAGTGAAAAGAGTTATTTCATTTTATAACGAAAGTTACGAATTTTTGAGATGTATACCATGTACACCCACATGGTTAATATGGTAGCCTTTTTCATGTTTTTTAGCAAATTAAACATAAACATGTCTCTGTTTTCTATACATAAAAATAAATAAACAAATAAATAAGAGAAACTATAAGCTTTATGAATTTTTTTGTGACGTTATGAGATGTATACCATGTACACCCACATGGTTACTATGGTAGCCTTTTCCATGTTTTTTAGCAAATTAAACATGAACATGTCTCTGTTTTCTATACATTAAAAAATAAAATAAATAAATAAATAAATAAGAGAAACTATAAGCTTTACCAAACACTAATGTTGTGCAGGCTTTTGTCTATCTAATATATGCAGTAATATTTTTCTTTTCTCTCTCTCTCTCTCTCTCTCTTTTTCTTTTTTTAATTTCTATATTTGTAGATTACAGCGACAAGAATGTTAGTAAAGTCAAAGATAACATACCAAAGAGGACCACGAGGTGGAGGCACATCCAAAGCAATAAACCCACTGACACAGACAGTAGCAAGGCCCTCACCAGATTTCAGAACATACTGAAACAAAGCAAGCAATCACAAGAGGTAAAAGAATGAGAAATCAACCCAAAAAATGGACGTAAAAGTAATTGCTTACTAAGTTACTATGAATATTATCAATCTAAAAAATAAAAGTTACTATGAATATCATTCTTCTATGCTTCATTTTACATAATTTACTGTTAGTTCTATGGCAAAATCTACTGATTTAAGATATTTTAATCTTTTTCATCATTTAAGGTATCTTCTTCTCAAATGATAGCACATCTGCATGTGAAACCTCACCGAAATCTGCTATATTGCAAGCACTTCATTAACAAGTCAAGCAGGAAGTTGTTCAAACTTTGGCTCTTGCGAACTGGTCTCAAACAAGCTTTAATTGAGCTGAATTCAAGTAACTAATTTTTTATAAATCCTAAAGTGTATATAAACTCATCGATCCGAGCACAGTAATTTTTTTTTTACGAACTTCAAAATGGGTTGAATTTCTTGTTTACATAACAAGTCAAATCTCAAATGAACATTTAGTAAGCCAAACACAAATCAAACTCGAGTAGATTGGTTTGTTTTACAGCCCTACCCGGTATTAATTACCTACAAGCATTGCCATTTCCTCCACTCAAAAATAGTTTTTGGTTTTTCAAAGTTTCTGCCACACTTTCCAAATTTGGCAGGTCAACAACTCAACGATTCACCACACTTCCTCCATATGAATTCTCATTATATTCCATCAAACCAGACCCATGACTAGATGCGTAGGTAAATAAAAACATAAAAAGACAGACATAATGAAATCAGACCTGTTCAGGAGTGAGGGTGAAAGCTTTACTTCCCAATGTGACCGTAACATTTGGCATTTTCGACAAGCTATTGCAGTCAACTGCTGATTCTCCCATTGGACTTGGCAAGCTCTCGCAAAGCTGTCAAACACAAGGAAAAAAGTTAGTCTTAAACAAAAAAGATAAATGTCAGCTTGGGCTTATGAGCAGATGTTACATTTTTGGTGATAAATCACCTGATCCACATAACCAAACACAGTCTCCTTTGTTTCCTTATCTTTCAGCTGGTTCTGGATCCAAACAACAAGCATCTCACAAGCAGTGCATAAAAGATCATCCCCAGCAGAAACTTTCTCCTTGTTTTCTTCTTCAACTACTGTCTTGATATTAGAACTGCAAATAATTAGGTTCAATTATCAACTTAGCTAGTGTTTGGCCACAATTTCCCTGTTCGCATGTGCTGCATTTAAAGTACCTGGACCCTAGAAACATGTATGCATTATGAGAGAGAGAGAGAGAGAGAGAAGAAGAAGAAGAAGAAGAAGAATGTTCTGTAAACCTGATCAAAAGGCCTTCAGGTGCTAGAAAATCATTTTCTTATAGAAAAGAGATACCTCCCCAAATAATGTTTCGCTGGAAATTTGTATTTCAGTGTGTGCTTAAAACCAGGAATTTACATTCACTGAATACCGTAACATAATGTTCATTCATTTCCATCAAATATGCAACCACAAATACTATGCACAGAAGTATATATATAAAAATAAAAATAAAACCATACACCCAGTTCAGTCCTCATTTGATAGGGGTCCGGGAGGGGTAGATTGGTGAAATTGAAAGCAGAACAAACACAACTTAATGCATGGACTACCAGAGAAATATAGTTATTGTAAAACAAATGCAGTAAGAACTTCCTAACCTCACATATTGAGCTCCATTGAACATGCATATTCCAATCTGTGAACATATCTTATCAGGTTGCACCTGCATATCAAAGCAGTATTTTCTTGAGACCTTTTATTGAAGTTAAAAAGTGGATTGATATAAAGAAGGTAAAAAAGACTAAAACAAGAACAAACCCCTGAAATTAAGAGATCCCATATCTGTTCTCCATAATCGGCAACTATTTCTTTACATTCCATGCTTATCACTCCTTCTGCTCCAATAGCATGGTTGATTTGAGTGACAACAGTCTGAAATTGATTGGCTAATTAGAAAAAAAGAAAAAAAGAAAAAAAAAAGCAAAAGAAAAAAAGATGATTGACCAATGTTGAGGATCATCTTTTTTAATGGATCAATTAGTTGTCAAAAAGTTTGAAGCACTCACAGTTGGACCAGCAAGCAAGGATGTTCCAGAATCCACAATTGCAGCACATCCACCCTTGCAAAAACCTGAAAGCGAAAAATAAATAAATAAAAATTAAAAAAATAAATAACAACAACAACAACTCAGATTTTCAAGAAATTCAATCAAGTTTATTTCACATCAGAGTTACTTAAGGTATCTAAAATATGTGCCCTGGAATCTTAGGCTGCATTTGGTTTAGTTTTGGAATTGTGATTCTCTTTTTGGAGTTATGATTTGAGTGTGGAATTGTGAGTTGAATTTTCAAAATAGAAAATTTATTTGGTTATAAGTTTTGAAGAGCGTTTTGAAAAGTGTTTTGAAAGGTATTTTTGAATTTTGAATTTTGAATTTTAAATTTTGAAAAGAGCGGATTGGGTCTACCCGGATGTCCAGCCAGTTAACCGGAACAGTAAATTTTTTTTTTTTTTTTCTTCCTTTTTTTTTTGCTACCTGTTATTTGGAAATATATATTAGCTTTAGATATTTTTTAAATATGGAAATTATTTTTTTTAGATTTTTTTATAAAAATAATTTAATAATCCCATCACTAATCATCTTCAACACCATATAGTTTTAAAAAGAGTTTTGAATTGAGTTTTGTGTTGTGTGTTTGGTTACGAGTTTTTAAATTAATTTTTGAATTGAGTTTTGTATAATTTTGAGTTGTGCGGCTATGAATTTGAAAAGTGTTTTGAAAGGTGTGCCTTTGGAATCATGATTCCAAAGGCAAACCAAACGAAGCTTTCATATTCTAATACAGGACTGGATGTAACACATTTTTTCTCAACCAGATTAAAATCAGAAAAATCTTTGGTTTGTAAAGATTAGGGTCCACATAAATAAAAGAAAGTGGGTGACATGTGTGATAGCTTGTGCTTTGAAGTTACAGCCCTTGACAAAGAAGAATGTTAAAACTGGATTCATGTAGTTGACTTCAACGAATTGGGACAAGACTTTTTTTTAGTCGAGGTTGTTGGGTATGTCTGTTTGCATAATGCATCAAACATTACTTTCGCACATTTTCTTTGCAAAGTGAATGATGAGCATATTGGTTAAAACTGGATTCATGTAGTTGACTTCAACTAATTGGGACAAGGCCTTTTTTTAGTCGAGGTTGTTGGGTATGTCTGTTTGCATAATGCATCAAACATTACTTTCGCACATTTTCTTCACAAAGTGAATGATAAGCATATTGATTCCAAAACATTACAACAATTTCTAATTAAATAACTTATTACCATGGATTTTACATATGCACTAAAAGTTACCTGTCGAACGGTTTGCAATAAGAAAATCATCCATTTCAAACTGAAAAATAAAGAAATAGAGAATAAATTAACTTTGTCAGCAAAAGCATAGAGAGAACACAATTATTGAAGCAAGACAAATTGTATTCAAAACATTAAACGTTGATCTTCACACACCTGCCAGTATCCCTTTTCAGTGACGGGAACATAAGTATGCTGCCCCTTGAAGTGCTTTGCATCAACACCACCAAAAACAATCTCACCACCGTCTTTTGCATCCGGATTCCGGTTAAGCCAAAAAGAGAAGACTTTCTCTTTTATAAGTCCTTGTTCCATCATATTGTACCTACACTTTCATCATGAATCAACACGTCTAGAAGAAAAGAATAGAGGGGTTGAAGTATATATTTTGTTTGTTACAAAGAAAAGAGTTTATAGAACCCTTGAGTCACAAATTGTCCCAAAAGCTTGAGCTGTTATAAAATGAGCCCAACAATATATATCAAGCCCTTAGTAGCAGGAATCATTACAATAGGGGACAATTTTCTGGAAGAAACACAATTTTGCGTTCCCGAATTAGAATCGTGTAAGAAATGCGATTCTTAAGAGAGAAAATCGCATTTCAGTATGAGATGAAAACGTCTGTGAAAATCAAACAACTCTGTTCTCTCTCGAACACGGCTCTTCTCTCTCGTCGGATTCGACTCCTCTCTTGGACACAGCTCTTTACAAACGACAAAAGAAATGAAAGAGTAGAGAGCAAGAGAGAACCTGATCGCCATTCGAAAGGGCGCAAGCATTGGTCGCCACTTCGACAGTTTCGAATTTCGCTCGATGCTCAATCTCCTTCTCTGTCTTCTCTCTCATCTCTCAATCTCTCTCTTCCTCTCCTCTCGTCTCTCGTTCTCGATCTCCCTCTTCCTCTCTTCTCTCGATCTCTCTCTCTCTCTTCTTCTGTTGACTTCTCTCTTCTTCTTTCTTTTTTCTTTGTCTTCTCTTTTCTCTCTGCTCTCTTTTCTAATATTTTTAATTACATTTATATTATATTATATAAATTACATTAATATAATAATATATAATATTATTCATATTATATAATATTATTCACCAAAAAAAAATTGTATAATATAATATGTCATAAATAATATAATTTTTATGTCTAAAATAAAAATAACTTATTTTATCATATATAATATAATTTATTTTATATCTATAATAATTTTTTATTTATTTTTTTTTTAAACAAAATCTGTTATTCCTTAGTTTTTTTTAAACCCATCTTTTTTTAAACTCATCTTTTTTCATTTATAACATATATATATATGTATGTCAATTTATTTATTAAAAAAAATATGTACATGTATGTCAATTAAAAATAAAAAATAAAAAATTTATATAGATAAATTAAAAATATAATTAATAAAAATAATACATAAGCGCTCCTAATCTATGACTCCTCTAAGTGGCCACGTTCCCCCGCTCCCACTCCCACTTCCATTTCGTGCAACTATGATCAAGCTATTCAACACCCTCCCTCAATGCAACCCATTTTGCATGTGAAGATGCAAACATCCACACATATAGAGAAGAAAGAATGCAAATGAGAGAAGAGAGAATGCAAACGGACAGATTTGAACGCAAGACCTCCCCCAACTTGAGCTCTAATACCATGTTCAGTCATCAATTGTCACGAAAGCTTATTTTTTTAAGCAATGGACCCATAAATGTATATCAAGCTATCCAATATAAAGCAACAAACTTCACAAAATAATACCAGAGTGGCACCACATCCCCAACTGAAATTTCCTGGAAGCCAAGCCCAAGTATTCCATCAAACTGTGCCACTACAAATGAAAGAGATCCTTCTTTTTTAGCCTCCATGAAAACCTGAAAAATAAAGCATGTGTGTCTATCACCAAAGGCAGAGAGTGGAAAACCAATTCCACATTAGAACTCAAAACGAAACAGGAACTCACTTGATCTTTGACCACAAGACTGCCGACTTTCACATTATCTTGACTAAGGAAGCCAGAAACTGATCCAGATCCATAATGTATTGCAATAGATTTTCCTGAATCACAAATCAACAAAAGCTATTTCAGCCTAAATCTGATAATAATCTCCGAATGTCACATGCTTTTCTTATGTTAAACAATTTGAGTTGGGAGTCAATAATGTCCAGGCCAAGTATTTATCACCATTATAAAAATCAAAGAAAATAGAATAAGAAATGTACCAATTTTGTGATATGATTTGGACTTGGAGTGCTTGTACTTAGGATGGAATAAGCATGCAATCTGCAAAATTTTTTGATTTAATAGGTAATTATTTTAGGGACAGTATGAGTTTGTAAAACTAAATTTTGGAAAAACTCACTGAAAAAATGCATTTTGATGAGGGAATCCATAGATTGGAGCTGCCAGTATCAAATATGACAGTGAATTTCTGTGGGGGTGAACCAATTCCAATCTCTGCATAGTATTGAGCATCCATATAGTTCTTCAGAGATACAATGTCAACATCAGATTTACCTGGACGCTTGCCATTCAGACCCTCCCCATATTTTTGCATTCTTGCCATCCTGGCAGCCTTAATGTCATGAAGATCCAAGGGTCGCTTCTTCAAACCAATCCGTACTAAACCATCAGAGGAAGCAGCAACTAAAGTGCATGTCAAAACCAATAAACAGAGAGCCCCAAAAGGATAGCTGAGCCTCATTTCAGAGAATTCCCTGGTTGAATAATGACCAAAAGGTAAGCTCGATGTACATTCAGTGTGCATGAAAAGCATACAATTTTGGAGAGCCAGGAAGAAAGCTATAGCCCATTGGTGCTAGACTCGCAATAAAAAAATGGAAAAAGGGCCCATTTAAAGACACTTTTGGTAAGCTAGTAGTCTGCTTTTGAGTTATCGTGATACAAGAAAGTCCCTAAGAATAGAAATCAAATGTTTGAAAGTCTTAGTCTAAGAAGCATGGACACGGATACAGATACGGACACAAACGCAGATGTGGACAAGGGACAGGGCGATTTCAAACAAATAGGGACATGGATACAAGAGGACACGGTAATAAAATATGTTTTCATAAATTTTTATTTGTTATCTAGATTAATATTCCATCCACAAACAATCATATTAACAAAAACTAACTCTAATTTTATATTTTTTTATTTAGGAAAAAAAAAAAAAGCACTATTAAATTAAAACTTTCAATTTATATCTTTTTTGTGGATAATCTATTAAGTATTTAAATCTAAGAAAAAAATAATAAACATTTAATATTCAACATTCATCAACAGCACTAAATAAAATAGGATAATAGATAACTTAGTATGTTCCTAGTGTGTCCCCGACATGTCCTCGAAAATAAATTAATTAAATAAGGGGACACGCTATGTGGTGTGTCCCATATGTATCCCCGAAGTGTCCATGTGTTCGACACGAATCCGACACTTATTTTGAAGTGTCGGTACTTCATAGGTCTTAGTTGTTGCTTAGAAGCATGAAATATGCAATTGTCACAAAAAGCTTAATTACCAAAAGCTTATATAACGAAAATGGCTTGACAAAGCACATCATCTATACAAATCTCCCCAAGTTTTTTATAAACACAATTATCTCCCTAATAATTTTGTAACACAAAATGACCAACAGCACTGATCTCACTGTCACCAAAACACCTGCCTATTGCTTTCATCTATACTATTATTAGTATTATATAAAGGAACACCAGACTTGGTGTAGATGTCGCATATTTTACTTTTCGGAAAATGCCCACAATAGTAGTTAGAAGAACAGTTAAACCATTATTTGGTTTTTCTATTATTATTATTAAAAAGAAAGCTCTTAACTGCCTCTAACACCCTTTTTTTTTTTTTCATAACTCGGTATCCAGCTCAATGGACCAATTAATTTGGGAGAGCAATCCCACCGTCCACTAGCAAGGATCCAAGTAAAGCTCCCCGTATGGATTTGATAGAAGTTTCGAACCTGAGACCATAGAGAGAGCACACCCCCAGGCCTAGGCATCAGCCTTGACCACCAGGCCAACCTCTAACACACCCATGAATCCATGATCTTTCAATTGCACACATAGTGTGCTTTCCCTGCTACACATTAATAATATCAGGTACAAAGAAATAACACATCATTTATCATGTGAGTGCACACATATTTTGATGAGCTGAGAGGAAATGAAAGGAAACCCTTTAGAAAATTTGTATTTGATTTAGTTTTTATGGGTTTTTCTTATAACATAATTGAAAGAACAGGGACCCAGATTCCAGAATCCAAACACAGAGGAAACGGGGGTAACTCAGTGGGGGGAACCACTCAAAAACCAAAAGTTGGATAATCATAGCATTTGCGAGGGACTAGGAATATCCAAAGGATAGAACACAGGATCCGATTGGAAGAACAAGATCAAATGATTCATATTAATTTATGGACTTTACATTAAATACGACTACAATTATAGACTACAGACACAAACCAATCCAAGAAAATATTAAGAGCAGATTCAATACAGAATACCCAAAAGCTTTACCATACACAAAAATACAAAAAACCCATATCTGAAAATGAAACTAATTCAATCATAGCACACTTTGTGCAAATAAATGACAAACCCACTAAATCCAGATAATTTTAGCAGCTAAAGAGTAATAAATGACTGAAGAACAGATCAAAATCCACAGGTATTACTGATAATCAAAAGGTTGTGAAAGTTATTTGTTTGGATTTGTTGAAGACGATAAAGATGACAAAAAGATTTAGAAAGTCAAACCTTTGAGGGAGCTTAGAGAGAAAGCAGAGGAAGATGGTGGGTGGTATGCAGACTTGAATCCGGAAAAGAGGATGATAGAGTGCGGGTGGTATGCAGACTTGAATCCGGAAAAGAGGATGATAGAGTGTGTATTTATTGAGAGAGAGACGATTTTAATAAATCATTATTCATTAATTTGTCTGCAACCAAATAAATTGGATAGTGAGTGTGTACCACGAGGCTTTATTTTGCAAACCAAAACCACGCGCATGTTAGCAAGCGTATATGCCACAGAAACAAGACAATGGAAAGATGGATCATGCCTATTCCATTTGTCTTTCTAGGGTCCCCTTGTTGAGTTTATGAATTTGACGAGGCAAACAATGAAAATAAAATTAAGGGATTGTTTGGAATGATCTAAATAAGTACATTTTTTATCTTTTTATGAAAAGATGTGTAAAAAAGTAAAGAGATGATGTGATGAAAAAAAAAAAGATAAAAAATATGTACTTATTTAGGATAGTCAAATTTGACCAAACAAAACACATAACTAATTACAATTTTATTTTGTTGATCATTATCGTAGAGGGCTGATTTAGATTTAGTTCGCACTGTATGAGAGTAAGATGAACTCTTCACTTCCTTGGCATTTGTAAAATAAAAAGGATTGTTAGACATCATCTGCTTTAAATATTGGTTGGAAGCACTCTGATAATCAAGATTGTTGAATATAAAAGAGATAGATGGTTTGGTTCAGTCTGGATTGAGAGAGAATTTAACATCGAATTGAACTTTTTGATTTTGTTAGATGAAAAATTGAAACATACATACCACATGATAGGATTCAATTTTATCAATACTGTAGATTTTGCATGGAAAAAGGATTCTCTTGAGAATTTAAAGTGTTTTATAAAGATTTATAAAATCTCATATTGAGAAAATAAATGAAGAAAAATGGTAAAAATTGTTCTATAAATAGCTTCATCCTTATTTTTCATTATAAAACGATATTATTCATTACTTATATTCTAGTGCTCAAAAAAAAATATAAAAGTATTATAATTATAAATTTCAATCGATTCAATTTGTATCAATATAAAATTTTTCAAAACTGAAATAAATCATAAACTATGAAAAACAAATTGAAAACTGAAATTTTGGTCAATCTTTAATAATCGTTTTGCTACATCAAATTTCCTTATACCCCTACATGTGGGGATTGGATTAATAATCTTATGGACCTTTTGTAAATCATGTTTGGTTGGTAAAATTGGAATGGGACTATGAATCCCTCCCGTGGTGGGATTAACATTCCCATGAGAGGGTGGGGATTCATAATCTAATTCTATGGGATTCGGTGTGAAAATACCATTTTGCCCTAAATAACAAAGTCACCTTTTAATAATGAGAATTTTTACTTAATTTTACAAATTTAATTCCAACCAAGTAATATTGCCACACCAATAAACAAACAAACACATTTTCTCTTACATCTTCAATCTAATAATAATTATTTCACTCATCCTCACCGTACTCATAACGCTATCTAATCTAATCTGTCAAACAAACGAAAACTAAGGTCGTGTTTGTTTTGTTGATTCATGGGTGGGATTGGCTTAGGATTGAAGTGGACCCCACATATACCTTGTTTGATTGGGTTTAGGAGTGTAAAAATGGGCCGCAGGCCAAGGTGGGCCCAGCCCGTTTAACCTTTTTTCGGCCTGGGCCCGAGCCCAACCCCAAGCCCCTAGGCTTAGGCCTAGGCCATCATTTTGAAACCCGGCCTGCTTGGTCCAGCCCATCATTCTGCTTAAGACCTACTCAAGGCCCGACCTACCCAAGGCCCAGTATCTTTTTTAGTGAAAAATAATAAAATTCTAGTAAAAAAATTTAAAAAAAATAATAAAAAAAAAGGGTTAGGCCCTCTCAAGCCCGAGGCCATGCCTAGGCCCACCGGCCCTGCCTGAGGCCCGAATACCCCTGGGCTTGGGCCTAATTTTTTAGCCAGTGGGTCGGCTCGGACCGGCCCAAATTTTGGAGGAAACCCGCGAGGCCCGACATGGGCCGGCTCGGGCCCGAGCCTAAGTGGACCTGCAACCGAACCGGGCCAAATTTACGTCCCTAATTGGGTTATTGGCTCTTGGATTGTTACTCCCAGAAGATTGTTAGTTTTACAAAGTAGAGGGATTAGGATGCCTTGAATGTAGGTGGGATTGAAAAATCAATCCCACGGCATAGTTTTCAAGATTTTTTTTATATTTTTTTTTATAGTGTCATTGTAAATTTTTTACTTTATCCTTTCACAAATCATCTTTCACACTATTATAAAAACAAACACACTTTTACTTTGTTCTCTCACTAACAATCCCCACATTAACAATCACTTTACTAATAATCACATCCAACCTAATCCACCAAACAAACATGACCTTAGGACTATGATAGGCCTTGGAGGAGGGGATTAACAAAGGCCTTGAACGGTTGAGTTTCAAAACTAGTGAGGAGGTTAGCTTGAAAAAATATTTTTTTGCCCATGTTGTGTCTTGTGTATTTGTGTATTTTTTTTTTTTTTGATATTATGTCATTATATATATATATATATATATATTAAAATAATACAATATAAAAAAATATTTATAAGATATAATTTTTTAATATTAAAATATATCAAAAAATCAAAGGGTAGTTATGGGATTTGATATAGTTAAGCCCCTCACTAAAATATATCACAAACAAAAATAATTTTCTTAGTCCCCTCACTGACAATTCCCACACTAATAGTCCCTGAGCATCCAAGAGGATAGTTAAACAAGACTTGTTAGGCATTTTAGCCAATATAAGTCAAATTTTGAGCTCCAATAGGCTAGCTATTGAGCTAGCTACTTTAACATCCTATTTTTTTGGTGGTTACAATTGAAGAGTCTCAAAGGTTTTCCAAACAATTATGTATGTATATATTTTAGATTTTTGTATATTTATGTCTTGGATTTGGGATTTTATATTATATATATATGTGTGTGTGTGTGTATATAGCAATTTTATATGTTCTTTCAATTCTGTTTGATAAATTACGGAATAACTTATTTTGTATTTTGTAGTTTTTCTTCTTCTCATTCTACAGGCTTTGTATGTTTGTATGGACAAATTTATTATTATTGCAAATTTATATTAGTAAAATATCAACAATTAATATTTTTTTATTTTAAAAATTAATTAAGTTAGTTTAAATCATTAGCTAAAATAAATAACGTGGTTGGAGAACACAATAGCTAAAGTAATTAGGTAAAATAAAGAGTGTATTTTTTTTGTACTTTAGCTAGTGAAAAGTAGAGAGTGTGGTTGGAGTTGCTAACAATTCTACTCAATCTAACTCTGAAAACAAACAGGCACTTCATCTCTTATCCCATGGATTGGATTTGAATACCACATCTCTTAGGCCATGTCTGTTTACCGGCGTGGGAGGGGGGATTAGAGTGCTATGGTTGTGGCCCTCATCCACAGCTTGTTTGGTGATAATTTGTAAGGGGAGAGGGGCTTAGTTATCCCCTTTAATATGGAGATTAGCTTGGCTAGATTTTTAGTGGATTAGGAAACCAGTGAAGGGTTTGAGTATATTTTATATAAAAATTTTATTTTTTTTACCAAGTGCATCTATTTATTTTAGTTTTTTTTAATGTAGAAATAAATTATTTATTTATTTTATATAAAAATAATTTATCAATCCCATCACTAATCAACTCCCACACTATTATCATAACAAACACACTCCCTCATTAACAATCCTTACATTAACAATCTCTTTACTAACCATCCTTTCACTAATAATTTTTGGAAATGGTTATTTTATCCTCAAGTTTGGTCTATTTTTTAGGTGGGCCCCGAGTGTCGATTTACTCGGGTCAAAGTGGTAACGCGTTCTATGCCGCGTTGTGATTCACGTGGTATATTTGGTTGCTCAAAACCATTACCAAGTGAATAGAGGCTGTTAATAATGAAATTGAATCCATTATGCAAAATCATACTTGGGAATTGGTGGATCTTCCACCAGGTTCTAAACCTCTTGGATATAAATGGATATTCAAGAGAAAAATGAAAGCAGATGGTTCAATTGACAAGTATAAAGCAAGACCTCTTAGCGAGTCATTCCAAGTCGCTATCACTAGGGCTATGAGGCTAAGAACCCAGAAGCGTTCGATGCCTTACTTAAACTATGATGCGACTCATTGTACAAACTTTATAGTCCTTGAAGACTGCATACATATTTTGAAATTTTGCTCTATCAAATTTGTCAATTTCAGATGAGATAAAATGGCTGTTCTGGCTGGAAATGGTGTTTTCTTTATCATTTTCTTACCATTGGTCTCAAGAACCGTCACATTTTTCCCATTGATTGTCTTGTTTGTGCATTTGCAGAACCCAAAGTGGAACCCTCCAAGTCTCGAGGAAGTTAACCCGAGGGAAGTTGAAGCACTCTTTGAGCCACTGTCATCAGAACTTGAGGAACTGAAAGTTTGAGCTTCATCTGTTTACTTGTCCTAGTGTCTTTGCTTCAATAATGGTACGAAGAATTATTTTTTATTATTATTAGAACATATTGGACATTAGTAAAAATAAATCATATATTTTATGGCCATTAATTCTAGTATAATATTGCTGCTTAGTATATTTGTTTGAACTATTAGTGAGCCTCATATCATATGTACATGTCACTTGTTTGTATTTAGACACAAAATTATTATGGGTGAGAGAAAATTGTCATATATTTTACGTTTTTGTTGTACTAAATGCCAGAAAAGGCATAATTTTTTTTTTTGAAAATATGTCTTTATATATATATATATATATATTAAAATAATACAGTACAAAAAAATATTTATAAGATATAATTTTTTAATATTAAAAAATATCAAAAAATCAAAGGGTAGTTATGGGATTTGATATAGTTAAGACCCTCACTAAAATATATCACAAACAAAAACAATTTTCTTAGTCCCCTCACAAACAATTCCCACACTAATAGTCCCTATACTAATAATTCTACTCAATCTAACTCTGAAAACAAACGGACACTTTCTCTTATCCCATGGATTGGATTTGAATACCACATCTCTTAGGTCATGTTTGTTTACCGGCGTGGGAGGGGGATTAGAGTGTTATGGCTGTGGGTCTCATCCACA